GGCGGAGGTGGGGAAGCTGGTGGCCAGGCTGCAGGACGGAGGAGTGAAGCCTGCCGGCAAGGCTGCCAACGGGGTGGTGGCCAGCCCTGCCCTGAAGACTTCCACTCTTCAGGCCAGGAGACCGGCTCCCCGGCCGGGGATCTATGGCAGAGAGGGTGAGCGTGCGCCCGGGGCCGTGGCTCGCGCCGGGGTCCCACCGAAGCGAGGCAGAAGGAGTGCCGCTCTCCCGAGGAAAGCTCTATGCGCTGAGCCAGCCCTCCCCGCTGCGCATCGAGCGCCAGGACGGCCGGAGCGGGTGGTGGGCTTCTTGCCTTGAGTCCTCTTGATGTAGCTCAGCAAGAGGGGTTGGGAGACCAGAAGAGCTTGAGATGTGGGCACGGGCCTGCAGCCCAAGGGTTTGGTCAGGCCTTGGCCTCCTGAGTTGTCCTGTTTTATTTCAGACAGTGGGTACTTTTGGTTTGTTGCTTACTGGGGGTGCGGCGGCTGCGGGGTTTCAGAGCAGCCTGCAGAACCCAGTGCTGGTGCTGCCCCTCCTCTGCTGGGCCAGGCAGATGCCACCAGCGTCAGATGAAGCAGGCTTTCCATGCAGTAGCTGAGCCTCTGCTTGTGCTAAGCTCAACCTAGCTCAGCGGACTCATAAAATTCAGGCTTGAGTAATGATATAAAGACCATTAAGCCCAAAGCAATTTGTACCCGGTGTAACCAGCCGTAAGCACTCTGGATTGTCAGTGCTCTCCTCAGCAGAGACGAGGAAAACGGCAAGAGTCATTTTCACATTTTAGTTTCTGATGGTTTTATCTGTCAGGCCCCCTGTGATGCAGCTTCTGGCTTACTGAGGCTTTACTGGGAACATTTATTTCAACAGTTCATCTGTTGGTGTTAAATATAAATAATGATTATTATTTGTAGTCTAATAAGCTTTATACAGAAATTTATTACAGGTAGAAATAATTTGTTTGGGGCCAGATCTGAGCTGGTATTGTCCGTTTCAGTGGAGGAAGGCAGGTAGGTGTCTGTGTATCTGCATGTCTGTAGACATTCTCCCCTGCATCGCCAGGGAGCCTTTTGCAGGACAGTACGCATTGCTGTAACAGCAGGTATTTGGTGCTGAGTTTTATAAAATACTCGGGACGATGGTCGTAATAAAAGATGTATTGCTTTCTGCAATTTGCCAGCTTTTCTTGTGCACTTTCCAGTGCTTTTCAGATGCTGTCATACCCTGACAGCTTCACAGTCCTGTAGTTAGAAAATAAAAACCCAGGCTGCATTCTTGACAAATGACTCCCATGCGCAATGGAGAGAAAGAAGAAAGGCCCGGCTGGGTAGCACAAACATCAAATTCATCTGACTGACACTACTGGCTTAACTTAAATTTGTCGCATAAATGGTAGCTGGAAATCTGCTTTTGGAAGAGTAAGATAGCTTTTAAAGTTGGCTTATATATCAACTGCATTTAGTGCTTCCAAGTTTTAAGGTTTTGCATTATCACACATAGCGTGCTGACAGCATGTCCTGGAGCCACAGCGTAATAAAACTGGCTGTGTTGATCCTTGAACGTATATATAGAAGAACACTGAAGTAGTAATAAAGTTACATTACATCTGTGTTGATACTTGCATATCGGTGCTAGAACGCTGTATTGAGCTTTTAATGTGCACAGTTTGGAGATAATTTTGAAAAACTGCAGAAACAAAGAAGTATGGGTTGAAGGATTAGAAAACAGGCCTTTTACTGAGAAATTCAAGTTATACAGCTTACCAAGGGGAAAATTTAGGATCAGAATTTACAAATGCAAGTATGGAAGAGAGTTGGTTAAGGACTGGTGTTTGAGCTAGCACACCAGGATATAATAAGGTTCAGTAACTAAGGGGTTGACAAAGCCTTGGTTAAGTAGTTGCAGCAATTAATTATCTTACCAAATAGAAAAACATCTTTGACTTATTTCTAATCAGGAACAGGACTCTCTAGCAGTGGAAATGTCTAAATCGGAAGGGCAGGAACCCAGCCCTTAAGATGGTTTCGAGCCATATAAATGGCCAGACGAGAAGATCGCAAGATTGCTGTCTTACAGAAATGCGCCCTGCAGGTCTGGGCGCTGGAGGGAAGGTGTGGGGTCACCAGGGGTGTCGGGTAAAGTCTGACACTTGTTCCTTTATTCCTTGAATAATGAGGTTGGCTGGATCTTGAGGAAGAAAAGCAGCCGAGGCAGGAACTCCTGTGAGCAGAGCAGAAAGCCAGGGGAGAGGACAGGTAGTGCCACTGCTCAAGATAAAAGCTCGGAGAAGCAATGGCCCCGAACTGCAGGGATCGCCGATTTGTGCTATTCCTCTCACTTTTGAAGAGCAGCACTGCACAGGTTTTGTTTAAGAAAACTTGTCGTTCCCAAGCAATATCATCTTTGCAATCAGCAACTATATCAAATTTGTCATCACAGGGTCCAGCTTCAGCCCCTCTTTCTAGTGCCAGGAAGGCTGTGCTGGGGCAGGCAGAATGGGAACTGCCTTTTCCTGGGACTCTTTGCCTAAATTCTGGCTATTGGCCGCTGTCAAAGAGAGGATGTTGGGGCAGACAGACAGACAGAACTAAGCCCACTAACTTTTTTAATGCCTCTTCATAAACATCTAGCCCTCCACCAAAGCTTCGTACTCAGTGTTTGTAATCCTCAACCTTGCAGGCGAGTACGATGGTGTCCCTAAGCCACGATCCCATGGCGATAAGCCTGTGATAACGCGTCCCCCCGTGAGACCTCCAGACCCACCATGCAGGACTCCTGTCCCTCCGAGGCTGGAGCAGAGGCCGGATCTGATAGCAGGAACAGCAGAAGAGATGACTTCGTCTGTGTAAGTCAGCAGCCCTCAGCGGGCACGCGGTACCTGGGGCGGGCAGCTCGGCCCGAGGGAGCTGCCGGCACCCCGGGGCTTGGGGAGCATGCAGGGGGACAAGGTCAGCCCCGGCGGCAGGAGTAGGAGCTGGTGTCACCTACCGGGAATTTTGGAAGAGAAGGAGGAGAAATACCATGTTGGTTTCCAGCGCCAGTGGCGTACAATGGCTGGAGCCCATGGACATCCCCTTCAACACCGGTGCAAGCGCGGGTTTGAACATCACGTTGGAAAGCTGTGCAGAGGGCACGGCCTGGTAGGGGAGCGTGGCCATAGCAAAAGCAAACACACGCAGGAAAAACAAAGCTCTGAACCTTCTCAAGTACAGCCCTGGGGCTGAGCTTTGTCCCGTCACCTTCTGTGCTGTTTCTCGTGTCAGTGAAGCTGGAGAGCCCCTCCCTGCCTGGCTCTGAGCAAGCCTCTCAACTGAGATGCTTCCTGGGGAAGGACAAGATCCAGCGTGGATCTCTCTTAAGGGAATCGGATGGTGTTCAGCTTCATCATCAGATTTCTTTCAGATTTTAAAGAAACAGAAGCCCTGCTGGCTTCAATGGGAATTAAAAACAGAAAAAACTGTGACTAAATACACTGGGATCTCAGCCCAGCATCCAGGACCGGTTGGTGGGGAGGCTGTAACCTGGGTGCTGCCGCGGAGCTCGCTGCTGCGCATCCAGCAAAGATGCGCGTTTCGTTCCCCTGCCATCCTAGCAGGGCAGCACCCCAAGTCTGTGCTAATGCCCCTCATCTGGCACTCTGCCACCACGCCGCAGCCCTGGGGTATGCGGGGGCCACCCCCGGGGCCTCACCCTGCCCGTAGTGACACGAGGTGCAAAAACACTGAAGTGCCTCTGTACCGTGGAAGCCACGCAGCCCGCGAGTGACGATCTCCAGGAGCGGTCCTGGGGGAAGCGCCTGCTGTGGGAGCAGCTCCCGAGTTCGCTCTGCGCTGGCCCCTGCTCTCTGCGGAGAGCCCCCGATAAAGCCACACTGTGCAGCTGATCCAAGTCCTGCATGTTCACTCCTTAGTCCAGCAAAGGTGCGTGAGGTTCAGCTCCGCACCTGCAGGGCAGGAACAGGCCTTGCCTTTGCTCTCCTGAATCACTTGTTAGAACTTTTCTTTCTATGAGGACAGTTGGAAGCTAAATATGAAGCACGTAAAAACTAAAGGAGAGGCCATAAAAAGTGATGGATGCAGGTTTATAAACCAGCACATAGGATTATAAGCAAGAGCATGGAAATAAGCAGTCTAGCCAAAAGCGATCGAGGGCTGCCTGGCCAGGGCGGTGTGAAGGCAGAGCAGAATGGAGCTGGCAGCATGAGGAGTGCGGCTGCTGCCTTGGCAGAAAAGACATTGTTCAAAGGTGATCGTCTTCAGTGTCTGCTCATGCTACTGTTCTTTTCCCTGGCACAGATGGGATCTAATTAGCAAATTGCCTTACCGGATGAGTGGAGTGACCTCTCTTGTTCTCTTTGCAGGGTGGCCTCTAGGACAAAGTTCTTTGAGACAGCTTCCCGAAGAACAAGCAAGTAAGCCTGGCACTGTGAAGCTGGCATGTATATAAAAGCAGCCCTGCTGCATAGGGTGCTCCCTCCGAGGCAGAGCGAGTCAGCTCGGGAAGCTCCATCCCCGACCTTGGCTTGTACTCGTGGGCAGATGATGGGTCTCAGCTAAAATGCTGAAACTAAACAAAGAGCACAAAGTGTAAAATGTGAATCCAGATACAGACTTGATAAGTTAAATGTAAATCTGCTAAGTAATAAGCGTATCTATGGATTCCTTTTATCATGTGTGTGGATCTAAGTCAGCGTAGTGCACGTTGTACTTACTTCTCAGCCTTTGCGAAGAGCAGAGATAAGATCATGGGAGAGATGAGGAGGGCTGGTTAGATCGCAGCAGCTGAGCAGAGATGCGAGACGAGAGAGTGGATGGTCCTACACACAATGTATGTGCAGGTATAGCTCCACCACAGAGAGGTACGGTGTGATAGAGTGATAGCTTGGGCATCGAAGCCTTCGGGCTAGGCTGGAATGGCAGGGCTTTGAATTGCAAGCATTGTGGTTTGTGGCAGCAGATTTCATTTGTAATAATATCTGCTCAAATAAGCTTCAGCTTCCTGCTTTTAAAGATCACCAACCTCTGCCAAAAGTGCAAGGTTTGCATGTGAGTGATAAATGTTGTCTGCTGGTGTTGACAGTGAGTTCACTTGTTATATTGAAAAATATATCCCTGACCTGACTGTTACCCGGCCCTCTATTTAGGTTTGTGGAACTGAGTCTGAGCTTGCTTATTGCATTAATTTTTTTTTTTTCTGTATTCTTCTACTTCCTTATATACAGTTCTTCATCACCACAAGGCCGGATCCCAGGTGATGAGAGCTGAGGCTAAAGGTATGTGTTCATGACAATAAATCAAATAATAAACCAAAAGCACACTTGTAACACAAATTCAGCATTTATGGGGTGGTAAGAGTCCAGTGGAGGTGATGGGAATCTCAAAAGAAAGATCAGGAGAAATGTCCTTCCTGTAGGAGACCCTTGCAGAAGGAAAGACAATGACTGGAGGTGGCCCATGCTCTTCGTTGGGGGGGGTATGTGGCAGGGTGGAGTAAATCAGCCGGCTCTTCCCTTCCTGAGCCTCCTCGCTGCAGCACTCAGGGTAAACGTGAGTGCTACGTGAGCAGTGCCGAGATCTGGGCTTGCTCTGGTTGTGGTTTTGCCGTCGCTGATGAATTTACACTGCTGCATAGAGCATGCTTGTTTTCTTCTTCCAGACTGTGTAACCACCTCAGCCCAGCTAGACCCAGGAGGTTTTCTGTGCTTGTGAAACGGATGTGTCACAGCTAAGACTTTTCCAGTTCCAGTGCCCCTGGAGAGCAGCTATCTTACCGGACGATAATTTCGGAGCATGCTGTCGTAAGTGGCTCAAGAAATTAGAAGAGAGGGAGACAACGACGGAGAGAAGACCCTACCCAGACATTTGTGTTGAACTGTTCCCAGTCCTTCCGCCACTCCTCTCTGCGCAGGCTGTGAAGGGTGCTCGTGTGTGCCCTTGCAGGTGACCCGCAGCGTTTGCAGGGCTGGGCGAGCGCCGGCAGCGCTGGGCAGAGCCATCCAGCCGACGGGCTGTGGAAGGGACAGCGGAGGATGGCAGTGGCCGTTTACCTGCTCACTTTTTGGGAAATGCACCTTGGCAAGGGTGACCTTGGGAGACGTTGGAGTCGAAATGCAAGGGGCTGACTCCCCATGCTTGGAGGCAAGGGCAGAGCGACCGGAGTTTGGGTTGGACGCCTTGCCATGAGAAGCCCCTTCCTTTATGTTATGTTTTCCTCACTCAGTAAGCTATAGTGTGTTTGTCAGTGTGTAGGAGAGCAGTGTATGTTACTGGAAACGCTGCTTGTGCTAAGGCAGGACAGGAATTGGCTCTGCGGGACATCTCTTCATCTCCTCCCCGGCATCAATGTGCCCCTGTCCTGGGAAACCACGCCGGCAGACGCAGCTGTGCCGGGGGCTTTGCCTGAGCAGGGCTGTATCCCCTGCCTGCGTTGTCGGCTTTCCAGGCAGTGCCGGTCGGGTTAGCAGCCTCCGAGAGCATGGCTGGGAGAAGGAGGCAGCAGGCGGTCCTCCTCCTCCTCCTCCCGCAGGAGCCACTCTCCCACCAGATCCACTTCCCACGAGCCCACCGAGAAGTCTCTGTCCCCGGGGTTATTCTGGTGGGCCAGCACAGAGGCAGCGAGGAACTGAAACTCGCTGAATATGGGTCAAAGCCCACCATTTTTCTAAAAGGCACACAGTTTCTTGTTTGCTTGTAACATTAATTTCCAATCCAAGAGATGTCCAGTCTCTTTTCCTCAGCAGCGGCCGTGTAGATGATGCCCTTTGGTCTGGAAAGGTTTCTCCTAGCCAGGACCACCCCTAGTACCCCTGTTAACAGTAGAGGCTTATTTGTGGTTCCAGCTGACACCAGGGCTCAGTTCCTGAGCTGTAGCATTTACCTGTAAATAGGCAATGAGTGGCTTCCCTGCTTCCTCTCACCAGCCCAAAGGCAGCTTCCCTGTTTTGAATGATTTTCCTTGGGTGCTGGGAGCATTCCCAAACCGGTGGCCAAACATCCCCGTTAGCTGCTTCCCAGCTGCTCCATCCTCTCGAGCGCGCTTTGTGTCCTGCCTGGCACAGGTTTGCCGGTGGGACGCTGCCGCGGTCCTTCCCATGCTGTCTCCTGATGCTTGCCTTGTGTGTGCATCTAGCGCCTGCCTGCTTTATTGCTGAATGTAATTCTGGCGTTCACTGGACACACACGTGTTGTGTCAATGGTGCTTCTGCTCCCTCGGGCTTTGGCGGTGCCCCAGCTGCTCGCTCCTGCACTCCTGCTTTGAACAGCGGCACATAAAAGTGGCTTTAAAAAAAAACCAAACAGAACAGTGGTATCAAAGCCTAGACTGTGTTACACACACCGGCATCTCAGGGCTTTTCAAAGCTATGGTGAGCCCTTTCTGCTGCACCCTCTCGCGAGTGGCCGGGAGGTGTGAGCAGCACCGAAACAGCGCATCATGTTTTTCTGATCAGGTATCTCAGAGAGCAGGTAAGACTGTGAGCCAGCGAGTCTGAAGGCAGGAGAGAGGCGCTCTGAGCCCAGAATGCCGGCTGGGGAAGCCTCTCCAGCAGCCAGGCAGTGGAGCCACCTGCCTGCGGCACCCACTCAGCCCCTGGTCTCTCCTGCTGCGGGCAGGCACTGGCGCCCGAGCCTGCTCTTTGGGGACGACTGGCTTCGTCACCTCCTGGGGTGGCTGTGCCAGTGGTTCCTCCACAGAAGGCCAACGTTTCCCAAAATGCCTTCCCCTCTCAGGGCTGTGCATTGAGGGCCCCTCGAGGCTGTCGGTTTGGGAAGCGCCCGGGCTTCCGTGGACACCACCGTGGACCGGGCGGCTCTGATGGTGGCACCCCCCACTCTGCACGTGGACGCTGTGCAGCGCTGGTGCCCACCGTACCCGTCCCGTTGGAAACGCTGGCTGTTGCATCCCCCACGCTGCTCGTGTACGGTCAGCCTCGTGCTCGCTGCCCGGCACAGAGCCTGCAGGACAGAGCTGGGGTCCGTGGGAAGAAAGAAATCCGAGGGAGTTTGGTTTTAAGTCTGACATTGTAAACAATGGAGGGAAGCAGCTTATTAGAAACTTATTTCATTGTGTCCTTTTAAAGTCATTTGTCACATGTGTGTCAGTGCTGGTTTTCCCTCCTCCGTGCATACAGCTGAACGCTGGGGACCAGTGGTGGAGCGGCAGTGGGGTGTTCGCTTGTGCTGGTGAAGGGCTGTGGGGCACAATCCCTGCTGCCAGTGCCACAGGAGTGACGCAGCTGGGAGCACGGGATTCGTCCCATACAGCGCAGCAGGGCCCCCGGACATCAGCCGTCGGAGCCGTTTTGTCATGTAAAAGCGTAGATTACTTCAAGTGTTTATAAAGTTTCCATGAAGTAAAAAAAAAAAAAAAAAAGAGTCCAAGTGTGCTTTTTTTCTTCTTTAAACAATGTCCCAGTGTTGCACGCGCTGCAGCCATCCTCTGCTGTGCAGATCCCACTGCTCAGGTCCCACAGGCAGCGCAGGACCCATCCCAGCACCCCGGGGATGCGGCCGACCCTCCCTGCGTGTGGCCAGGGCGTGCGAGCATGGCTCGGGGCAGTGGGTTTGCACAGGGGTGGGTTGTTCTGCCTGTTAGAGAGGCATGTTTGACAGTATGTGTTCTTTAAATGTTTTCTCATTTATAACTTCAGCTCACTGGTTCTTGTTCAGCTGTCTCTGTCAGCATAAGCACCTTTCTACTTATTTATGATGACTGCAGATACAGCACCAGCTTCTTTCCATCTCTCCAGCATCTTTTTCCCCTCCTCACATCTATTTTCCCATCCCTCTCAACTCTGACGTTGTGATGATGTGCACTAGCATTTTGTTTTCAGACTTCTTGCTTTTATTTAACAAAAAGACCTATCACAGGAGAAAACAGCTTTCTCTCTTAAGTCCTGCAACTTGCTTTTAAGCCAGAATTTATGGAGAAGTGCCCAACTGAGGCGACCACGCAGGAGCTTGCAGCAGCGCGCAGGAGCAGCAGGCGAGGCGCCAGGAGACGGAAGGTGTTACTGGGGGAAGCGTGGGGTGGGCAAGCCGCCCTCTGCCCCGCAGCTCGGCAGCCTGCACCCTTTGCTTCGCTCTCCGAAGAGGAGAATGCGGCCTCTTTCCACAAGATTTCCTAAATACACCACTCAGTTCTTTGTTGAGGGATTTTTTTTTTTTTTTTTTTTCCTAATAAAAGGGCGGGAAAAGGGCAGAAAACAGGGGCTT